GAAGGACGCATTTGAGGGCTGCATTTCGAGCAGCCTTCGAATTGGGACAGCCTTCGTCGCGGTGATGTAATCGGCCTTAAAATGCGGCCTTTAAGGCTGCAGACCCTGGATTGGGACACAGCCTTTCCTGAGTGTGAGACGAGCGCTGCTTTGTCACTTCAGACTTACACAACTAAAATAAGTTGTGGGTTTACTGCGTGCAGGAAAGCTGGAAACAGTTTAACCTTTACAAAACGTTCCATGTATACTCTCTGTCTGACCCCACAGGTGATACCAGCCAATCCAACAGGGAGCAGACAGGAAGGGGCGGAGTCTGAGGAGCCAAGGCAGCAGGGGGTTGGTCAGCAGGTGTTTCTAGCTCTGGCAGATGGGCGAGAGGTGAAATCATCAGCAGAGCTGGTGGAGGTGAACATGTATGACCTCCTGAACAACTCTGTGGCCTTCATCTGCGAGGACAAACCAGCAGACTCCTAGCTGGTTCCCATGGTCACAAACACGCAGAAAACGTCACCAACACTGGCTGCTGAGCGCGTCTGCGTCCCACAGTCCCAGCTGCTGACAGCCCGACGTCTTCAGTCTGCGCATGATTTACTGACACACTCGGTGCAACCGTAGGTTTGTGTTGTTTTAAAGACGTGACAGCAGAGATGTTCCTGCTCTGTGGCTCTCAGCACTCACATCACTGCACACACAGGTTTGTCCCGTAAACAGTGGGAGCATCTGTTAGACGCCACACGTGGGACTGAATCACTAAACCGTGGAAGTGTATGGTCACTGTGGACTGGTACCTGTGAACGCTAATAAACATAAAATACCTGACGCTGCTCTGTGGTTCCTGCTGTTGTAATCAAACTGTTTAAGATTTCTCACATCAATAGTTCACACGTTTATCCTGTTCAACGGATCGTTCATTGCAAATAAAGAGAGATGTGGCTTTTGTACAGATGTTCCCTTATTTATTACAGGTTCACAGAAGGAAAGAACAAGGATCAGATAAATACAAACATCCACTGTGGATCATGAACAGCAACCCTGAGACAAATCCACGCCCAGCTCGTTATCCAACGACTCCAGCTTCTCACCCGCTCTCTGAGCTCGAAATAAATAAAACCCGTTTTAGGATAGACTGTGCCGATGTGCTCTTTGGTTTGTCCTCCACTGAAACTGGACTTTCACAAACAGAAGACGAGTGTGTATTTGACAGATTGTGTATCAGATACAGTGAGAAAGACCTGCCTGCTGTCTCGATCACTCCAATGAGCGTTTCATGTTCAAAAGAAATGACTTTATATTTGCAGAAGCCAGCAGCTGACATCTCGTCTTCCTCCCCTCACCCTAACGGCCCCGCCCCTCCCTCAGCCTTGTCTGCATTGTTTCTTCCTGTTAAAGGGAGTTTTTCCTTCCCACTGTCACCGAAGCACTTGCATATAGACACTGAACATGTGATGTCATTTCCGGGGTAAAACCGCAAAGGATTGTAGGTACGAGTGGCGAGCGGTACTACAGCACGCAAGCTTTCACATGGAAACAGTCACACAGAGATAAAAAGAAACACAAAATGTCAAGAAGCTGTTGTGTTATTAACTGCAGTAGCTGCATGACAGCCACGGAAAGCCGACGGTAAAGAGATCGTTATCGGATTACGTCGTTGAAGAGAAATTGTTTAAGTCATGTTTCCGTAGTAACAAAGAGGCGACGGATGGCCTGGATTGCAGCCATTCAAAGACCAAATATAACGTCCCAGAACTCACAGGTTAGTCTGCTCCAAGCATTCCCACAAAGGTCAGTCTTCTGTTGTAGTTATTACGTCATTTTTCATAATTGTTGATGTCGGTTACAAATAAGTCTTAATTTGAATCGAATTCGTTGCTGCTTTGTTCACTGTGGCTTTGTGGGCCAATGTTTGTTGTGTTTTGTAGGAAAACCAGCCTACAAAATGCAGGAATGTGATCCAGACTGGCCCCTCTATCAGCCTGGGTTTAAAGCTGCTACCACAGACAGATCTGATCGGTGAAGAGAGAGCGAGATCAAAACAGCCACGAAACGTCTGCATACATGTGCCCAAGTGTTGTACTGAAGCAATCAAGTGATGAATAACTGTTTCAGGATGTTGTTGTGAGATCATGGGGGTCACATGATTGTTGGGTTTTCTCTGTATTACTGTGGGTCTTTACTTTAAAATATAAATCTGTGATTTGGTATAAAGTTGAACTGTATATCCAGTTAACATGTTTGAATAGTTTACATTCATCATCTGGATTATTGCGTCTTGAAATATCTGATTTTCTAGAAAGCTGAAGATCAACCATTCTGTGAACTCAGCCGACAGTCTGGATCCACCAACAGGGTTTGATGATGGTTGAAGTTAGAACAGCTGATGATGTAGGACACACCATCAGCCACTTCCATGATCCAGCCTGGAGCAGAGCAGGACAGTGTCGGGTTTTCTTAGCTGGTTGATACCAGCTGTAAATGTGCATCAATCAGCCTTGTGAATCTGTGGAGACGTCCACAGGGTCACAATTTGAAAACGTTCTGGTAGACCTTTAGTGTCACAATGTAGCACCTATTAGAAGTCAGAAGGCAAAAAATATGAAACAATAAATATCAGAATTTTCAGGCTGGTGTTTGTTCTCACAGTCAACAGTAAATGTTCACCAGGCTGCACAGTCTCACCGAGCATACACTCCACAGCCGCAGACACACAAAACCAGTTCAGGTGTGTCCACCAGCTCCACCTGTGGGACTCCAACAGTAGTCTGCAGCCATACTTACAGACTAACACCAACCCTATAATGTTTCACACTGCAGTTCTTCTACAGGCCACTAGATGGCAGCTACTTGTAGCACTCGAGGTATGAAGAAAAGGAAAAAGAAGCTACGCCCTAAAATCCCTTATTTCAGTTGTCCCGTAGTTTAATACAAATATAGCTCAGCACAGCTGCTAGCTTGCGTGCTAACAGTGGTAAAGACATTCACTCAGTGATAAACTCCAGTTAAAGAAGACTCTTTATTTCTTCATTGCTCCTTTTGGATGTCTCTGCTGCTGGTTCCTAGCTGGTCAGCTTCTTGCGGGGTAGATAGGCATTAGTGATCTGCCTCATCACCACCAAGGCAGGGAATAGAGGCAGGATGAGGAAGGCCCACCACGCCACCCCCTTCGCCGTGGCCTGGAACCAGTCAGTGAACATGGCGGACATCACCGTCACTGTGGAAAACAGGTAGACGACCAGGCCGCAGGTGGCGTGGTACAGCTTCAGTCTGGACGAGGGGCAGGAGAGACGCAGCGGCTTGGGGAAAATCACAGCGATGCCGCAGGCCGCTTGGAGCACGGTGGCGGTCAGCGTGCACACCCCCAGCAGGCTGTGCCAGGACGCCAGGTGTGGCAGCTCCGACACATTCCTGCTGGCCACAATGAACCAGAGCCCAGTGGCTGCAGCGATCAGCACCAGAGCCTGACAGATCCAGTGGAGACGCACTTTACTCCTCCAGGATTTGAAGCAGAAGGGAGATCCCTCTGCTGAGAACAGCAGGATGCCTTCGGTCATGCACAGGCAGTACTGCAGCGAGAGGAAACAGAGGAAAGGTGTTTTAGTGGTGATACAGATCAGTCATGAAAAGTCAACAAGCGATTAATTAGACGCAGAGTTGTGGGAATTTATTCTAACGATCTAAACTCCTGTTTTTCTGTCTGATGCACATCAAGCTTTTCCTGATTCAAGGAGACAAAGTGTGTACATGAGTGGCATCTGATGTGACTGTGAATCAGAAACTAATACAGCAACGCACAGCATCAGCTTATTATGGGATGGGCCTGTGAGTGGATGATTACAGACGTAGCAGGATAAATGATGACGTCAGACATATGGACAATAACAAAGCATTATCCAAGACTCAAGGCAAAGAAACAGAACATTGTTCAGTCACCTGACCACAGCTACAGGAGACTGAACTCGACTTTCATAGTAATGTTGAATTAACGTTCAGAGCTGGTGCATTATCACGGCTGCCAGTCTCTGAGGCACTGAGAGCAGCATAGTCTAGCACAGTGTGTAACACTACACCATACCATCATTTATTTATATAGCACAAACAACACATGGCCGACCAGCAGACATAAAAAGTACAATAAGAGTAATAAATAGTTATTCTATAGTTTTTAACCTGGATTCACAGACCACAGCTGATGTAGACTCCCTAATGTGAAGAGGAAGATCATCCCAACGCTTCGGGCCCACAGCAGAGAGCGCTCGGTCTCTAAGGTTCAGCCATGATTTAGGGACTGAGAGCAACAAGGGGGGGCATAGGGCCGATATACAGGCGCCGGACCATTTGAGGATTTTAAAAACCCTTTAAAGTAGATTCTAAGTACCGGAGTAATGTGCTCAAATGTTCTTTTACCAGTTACAAACTGTGCAGTTGCAGGCACAGCCAACCCCTGTTATAAGGGCGTTGCAGTAATCCAAGCGTGAGGTTATAAAAGCGTGGATGACAAAGAAAAAGCTTGACCTTCGACAGACGCATGAGGGGCCAGAATGAAGACTTGACCAGCCCGTTTGCGTGGCCATCAAAACTAAGCACAGAGTCCATTTTTACCCCAAGATTAGTAACCGAGCTTGTCGGGTGACAGAGCAGCAAAGTAACCTCTGGGGTACCAGAGGAACCGATCCATTTTACGTTCATTAAAACTAAAAAATTTAGAGCCATCCATGACGTAGCATCGCTAAGACGATCCAGCAGGAGTCCAGTCGAGGAGCCATCAGAGTGAAAGGCAGATAAAGGCGGCTGTCGTCAGCATTTGTTTAAATTTCTTGCTTTTGCACCAGTGGCAGGAGATACAATGGAAACAGTAGAGGCCCAAGAATAGATCCCTGTGGTACACCCGAGGGCAGAGGGGCCACAGACGAAATCTTATCCACGAAAGTGCCACGGTGGAAATCCCCACACAATGCTGTAGTCGAGCAGTCAGAGCCACCAAAACAAGCAATACATGTTTACAGTCTGTTGCTAACAAACTGTCATTCATAACCTCTGTGAGAGCCGAGCGTTAACACACCCTCCTGCCAATCACTCAAATCTATTATTTACAGTGGAAAGTTGACAGACTGGAGGAATGTAGTGGGCTGAAAGCTAGCAGGGAAAGAAGAGGCCTATTTTTGAGAATACATCTCCATCCATTATTTGAAATATGAGTGAGTGCTGACCGTTTACTCCAGCGTGTCATCAGACAGATATGAGCGATCGTGGGTGAGACGAGTGTCTGTGTGAGGATGTAAACTTACAGCGACAGACATACACATGGGGTGCCAGGAGAACAGACCTGGAGAGACAAACAGCAGATTAATGACACAATCATCAGCTGACCATGACCTGCAGCTTCAACAGCAGCAGACTGACCGTCAGGAAAACCTACACTTACCCACGCAAGGACACGGTGATGCCACAGCTCAAACACCGGCTCTAATCTGCACTTTACATGTTTATCATCAGAAACTGAATCGTTTTGTTTACAGGAAGAAAGTCATGATAATATTTATTTACTGCTACATTGATCAGTAAAGAAGCGCGCGCAGCTCTGTGATCAGTCACGTGAAGGACACAAATAACCAAAATCAGTTTATATCCGGCAGGTTGAATGACGGTGATAAAACTCGACACTTACTGGTTCCGGGTCTGGACAGCAGCGAGAGGACGAGCGTCAGGCCCAGGCCGGTGACATGAGTCGCTATCACCGCCGCTCTCCGCAGCCACACGTACAGCCAGAAGTCCCGCATACCCAGGCCCTCTCCCACCGGGCTGTACTCCACGTCTGACCGCATGCTGCTCACAGCCTCTCTGGCTACCTGCTGCAGCGTCCGGCGGAAATACGAGGTGTGCTGGAGACCGACGAGGAGCCCGCGCTGTCGGGAGGCTGCACGAGCGCCATAGTCGCGCGGTTACAGCGAGGACGAGCCGAGCAGCGTCGCTGCTTCGCTCGTGTGTGCGCGCGACATCCTTCCTACGAAATTCATTTTGTTAAGGCCATTTCCGGCCTGAGGACGCAAACAGAGCGGGCGGTGTGATCCCTCCGAGGCTGTAGAAAGTCTGCACACCGAGCTGCTTCCTGCTTCGACCTTTTCTCGAAGAAACTACGCAGCTGACCCGACTTCCTGATTCTCGTGTCAGCCGCTGTAGTCCAGCCCAGCGCAGGGAGAAACACTAAGGACCGCGCATAGGCACAAAACAGCGTTAACTGAGCGAACTCACTACATGTACACAATATGTAGATGGGTGACAATGATTACTGTAAACTTATTAATGCACACTGTTGCAGATCATGTACACCCTGTCATGGAAACAGGTTAATACAACACGAGGTCCAGGACTGGTTCCAGGCGCTGAATCTCCACATCTCACCATCCAAACAAGTCCTCACAAATGTCGGGTCTTAAAGAATCTGTTGCTAACATCTTGGTTCCCGATACCACAGCAGCTTCAGGGTCAGCGACGTTTGTGCAGCAAAGGGGTAACTAACATAACATTTGGCCTAATTGGTGTAAATGGAGGCGAGGACATCAACATCATATATGCATGTATGTTCCACAGGCCTGTCACGGTAGCAGTGATTAGACCGTTAAAAAGTCATCTGTTTACCGTGTTAGCTAATTATAGGCCAGTCTTGAAACAGCTGATCATCTGCAGGTTTCAGAAACTATCACAGTTCTGATCTTCTTTGGGCTTTGAGAGCAGACACATCTCTGCTAGACCTCAGTGCAGCGTTCAGTTACCCATAATACTTTTTATAGAGTAATGTAGGTATTACAGGTACTGTGCTGCAGTGGTTTGTATCATATCTATCTAATAGACTCCAATTTGTGCATGTAAATGGAGAGTCCTCTTCACACACTGAGGTTAATTATGGAGTTCCACAGGGTTCAGTGCTAGGACCAATTCTGTTTACATTATACATGCTTCCCCTAGGCAGCATCATTAGAAGACATAGCATACATTTACACTGCTATGCAGATGACACCCAGCTCTATCTGTCCATGAAGCCAGATAACACACACCAATGAGTTAAACTGCAGGAATGTCTTAAAGACATAAAGACTTGGATGGCCACTAACTTTCTGCTTCTTAACTCAGATAAAACTGAGGTCATTGTACTCGGCCCTGAAAAGCTTAGAAATATGGTATCTAACCAGATTCTTACTCTGGATGGCATTACCTTGGCCTGTGACCAAGAGATGTCCTTCAGTGCGCAAAATGCCAATAAAAAAATCTAAAATTATAAAGATATTTTCTCAGAGTAATGCTGAAAAACTAGTTGGTGCATTTATTAGATGTAGCTTGGACTGCAGGAATTTGATATTAGGTGATCCTAAAAATGTCCCGTTGTTCCAACATGCTGCAGCCAGAGTGCAGACAGGTGCTCGAGACCGTCTGCCTGTTGATCCAGACTCAAATTCTGCTCCTCATACACAATCTTAATCTAAAAGACTTCATAGTACCATATCACCCTAATAGATGTCAGACTTTTAAGATGATCAAGTGTGTAGTTAAGGCTGGATCAGGTGACCCTGAATCTGCTGTGTCTTCACTCACTCTTCCACCTTCCCCCGTGTCCCCTCACTCCCTACCCGTCGTGACGGCTGCCCCCTCCTCAGCCCGGTTCTGTCAGAGGGTCATTGTTGGGGTTTCCCTCTGTTACAGCAGTCTTTAATAACATAAAGCAGCTGTGGGGATAAATGTGTGTTAATGCAGTCACATCGTCTAGTTTCTGATTGTAAAACGTGCACCACTGAATTCAGCCAACATTCAAACTGCACCATGAGAGCACAAAGTGATAAAGAAGCGACAGAAACCGAGTGAAAATGACATTTTTAATCAATGTTTATAAACCAACATTTCATTTAGCAGCATAACCAGATGGTCGTGAGGTATTTCTAAATCCATACGCTCTGAACTTCCTCCCACCCAGACCCACACACCCAGCTGCGATCCACACTACATCGACGCCGCACATACAAACACACATTCACACCTGAGCGCACACAGACAGAAGGCACACACAGACACACACAGTCCTGTTGGCTCAGTCCTGGACTGAGCAGAGCTGGCTCCCTCATCGTGGCTTGTAAGGCAGGCACACTTAATGGTGCAGTTTTGGCTGTAGGACAAAAGAAAATTAGTCAAATTATTACTTTTGTTTAGACAGCTGCTCTTTGCATTCACTTCATCACAAACAAAGATCCCTGTTTCACACAGAGCCCGTTTAAGTCAGCCTGTGGAGTATGTCACCAGCTCCTCGGAGCGTGGCGGGAATTTCTGTCCACCGGGCATCACTGATCGTCATGGAAACAGCTCTCGGTTGAGTAATAGTCATTTTTAATACCTTGCAGCAGACCTGTGTTAGTCTAGTCCAAGACTACGTCGCTGACAAAGACTGAGAAGTATGACCTGACTTATCTATGGCACTTTGTAATTACCCAGAGGGCAGCAGCTGCAGTAAACCGCTGCGTCTCTGCAGAAACACGATCCCTCTATATGCACTGAGAGGCACTGAGCTGGTTGCACAAACTGTCTGACTGGCAGCATCCTTTCAGCAGAGGCAGTCTCATCAGCTGACGAGCTGTGAGGTAGCTGCACAGGCAGAGGCCGCCCTCACTAACGCAGTCATACAAGCAGAAACACAACAGAAACCACTCCGTTCTCAAAAGAGCTTCAAGGGTTACTCCTAGTCGCCTTTGCAGGGGCCAAGTGTGGACTGGAACTGCTCAGTACACCCATTTCCCCTCGTCCAAACCTACCTTCTGTGTGCCCAGCTTCTTCTCCACACCCCCAGAAAGCGTCCCGCTTTTATTGTCTTTCCAGGGGTAGAAGTTTGAGCGTGGAGACGAAGTGGCAGAGCTGGAAGAAGAGGAGGAAGTCAGGCAGTGGGCTGAAGGCTTAGAGGAGGGAGCGCTATCCTCCGTACGACCGGCTTTGCGTTTCTTCACCATTTGGTGCTCAAAGACCCTCCCACTGCCCTGCCCGTGCAGCCCTGAGTCTCCCACGCGGCTGTGGGAATTGGTGGTGGGAGAAGGGTCTCCCAGAGGGGGGTGTGTCCGTCTGTAAGTCCAAATAGCCTTTGTGGTCGGTGACTGGGCGTCTGTGGGGGAAGGCTGGGGGTGGGGTTTGCTGCTGGGGGAGAGCGTGCCGTTGGTCTGTGCGTGCGCTTTGGAAGATAAAGACGACGTGTTGGAAGGCGGGCGGCCCCTGTCCTGGAGGACGATGCAGTTCCTGTCGGGACCCGAGTGCTCTCCTTCCTGGGATGGGACTTTGCGCTTGCGGAGAACGGCGGCCGTGGCGACTTGCTCTCGCAGCTTCAACATTTGTTTGCTGGGACGTCCGACTGGATTCTTGGGTCGCCCGGGGCTGGCGTAGCGCGCCGCCGCAGGCGCGCCGTGACTACCAACCATGATGCTGCTGCTGTTGCTCCCGTAGTTCTCCAACTGCGTGGATGTCGGGGGCCTCCCCGGCCCTCGACTGGAAGATGATGAGGATGACGCCGTTTTGAGGGAGGAGCTAATATGACTTCCTGTGCGAACCTTAGAATGTGATGAAGAGGAGGACATGATGGTGGCGGACACGGCTGTGATGGTCTTGGCTGAAGGGGGAGGAGACTGAAGGTCTGCAGCTTGAGGTATTTTCCTGCACAGAGGGAGAAAAGAACAGATGAGCAGCGTCTGACAGCACGGCCATGTTTACAGTGGCCACGCCCCCGCCTCACCCTCACTCGTCACCCTGGAACACCCTGGACAGCAGTGTGGAGCTGCGTGCACTGTGAGGTCATCTTCTGAGGCAGCGTTGAACCAAACGACCCAGGGTGCACCTCTGTGCCGCCTTGTTAGTGCTGCTGTAACATGTAAGCACAGTGTTCCTGCACTGCCCAGTACATCAGGAGGCGCCTGTGCTGTGTGCAGACAGGAAACTGCTGCCACACGACAGGTTCTCAGGACCTGCTCAGGCTCAGACCGAGCATCTGATGGATGCGTTAAACGTGGCATTGTGAGTATCTCACAGACTGCTGCTCTGTCTCTCTCGCCTGAACCAGTCACACTGATGTGACGTTATGGAGTGTTTTAATGCCACAGTCACCTGTATTGTTGCCCACTGCATCCATCGCCTTAGCAACACAGTTGAGACACTGTCCTGCTCTCAGACCATCTCACACATTTCCTCATAAGCTGTGTCAGGAACAAAAGGATGTTTGGGCTTTTTACAGTGAATCAAAGCAGCTCCAACTCTTTGCCATGCTGCTGTTCATGCCTGACAGTATCAGGGCATGCTCCCACATCCATGGATGTGCATCCAGCACTGACTGACAACCAAACCTGTCGTGCTGAACCAGGTTACAGTCAGCATGTCTGTCACAGTCAGGGTGCTCTGCTCTGTCTAAAGCACAGAATATAA